CACACACACACACACACACACACACACACACACACACACACACACACACACACCCTTAAAATTGATTGGCTTTTTACAAACACCAGAAAAGCAAATTAGCGTAACACCCCCCCAAAAAAAAAACTAAAAAAATCAATTGGCTGAAAAATATACTAAAAAATTAATTGGCTTAAAAACAATTGGCAAAATAAAAGAATTCGGCAACCCCCCCCTCCTTCTCTTCCCCTTTGGACCTCAAGTCAAATTGGCCATGGACTTGAGTCCCTGACCGTCTAGAAGAAAGGAGGGGACCCCAAAATTTGAAGGAGGGCATGTCATTGCTTCTCAGCCACCTCTTTGCTCATGCAAGACTCTTGGGCACTTTCAGTGTGAACTGGCTTTGTAACAACAGCAGCCACCCTGACTCGCCCTCCGCTCGGGTTCCCACCATTCTGAGTCACTGGAGCTGGTTGGGGGGCCAGTGAGACCCAAAGAGGGGAAATGGAACATGAAAACTGATACTGGTGTAAGTAAGATTTGATTGGCACAAACCCCCACATACCCTGAAGTTCATCCTCCAAAAACCCACACACTCCAAAGTCTTACACATCAATCCCCACCTAAAAGCACACACACACTCATCCACACACACACACTCATCCACACACACACNCGGTGGGGCTGGCCCAGCAGGACCCCCTGCTGCTTTGGGAGGTGGGGGCTGGTCTTCTAGGACGCACATGCTCTGTGGTGGGGTGTGGCTATCTGCCATCCTGGCTGGCGCTGGGAGACTCGGGTCTCCCGAGGAGTGGCCACTGCCCTGTGCTAGCCCCGCCCTCATGACATCATAGGATGGAGGCCAGGTCCAGTGTCCAGCACTGGTCCCTGGCTGAGCCCCTGCCGTAATGACAACAGGGAGAGTCCTCCCGATGTGAAATTACTGGCCAGCACTCAGTGCCAATCAAAGGTGTGCTTCCTGCCCGTGAGCGGTTCAAGGGCCACCTCGGCAGTTCAGATGCATTCTTTTCTTAAGACAATAACGAAGGGGAAAGCCATGCTTTCAAACTGTAACTGAACTTTAAGTGTGGAGAGGGCTGGGCTCGTGTCCTCAGAGGAAGCTGGCTTTGGTCCCTGTGGGGGTGACCCTGGCTGGCGGGTCCGGTGGGGCTGATGGCCGCTTCTCTCTGCCCCCAGACCCCGATGGAGCTCCCGGTGGGGAAGTCGACGCTGGTGCTACTCACTTTCTTGGCCTTCGCCTCGTGCTGCTTTGCTGCTTACCGCCCCAGTGAGACCCTGTGCGGCGGGGAGCTGGTGGACACCCTCCAGTTTGTCTGTGGGGACCGCGGCTTTTACTTCAGTAAGTAGCTCGGTGGGGCCGAGGGGCAAGGGGCAGACACAGCAGGTGCTCAGGAAATGCCGGCGTCCTCTTGCGAAGGTGGCCGACCCGGGCTCCTGCCCTGAGACTTGAAAGTGCACTTGGGGACCTTGCAGTCCACATTTATTGGACACATGCAGTGTGCCTGGGTGGCACTCACACCCCCTGATTTTCCTGCTTCAAGTGGGGGGCCAGACCATAGCAGGCGGGGCTGGGGTGGGCTCCCAGAGGGGTGAGCCAGACCCGAGCGGGGAGGCAGCCTCTGCCTGACCTGCCTGTGGCCAGGGCTGTGGACACAGGAGTTCCCCCCTCAACACGGCTAGGGGCTGCCTGACCGTTCGGTAATGGACCCGTATTCATGGTGATTGGATTTGAAATTTGATCAAACGGAGAGAAAACCAGTGGGAGTAATAGCACGTTGCTGGCAGGTGCGAGTGGGCGCTCAGCTCCACCTGGGGTTTCAGGAGAAGAGCCCCCCCCCCGCCACAGCGCCACTGGGGTCACAGCGTTCAGAGATGTACGCCTGAGGGGTGGGCCACACTGTGGGGTGCCCCATGCTGGCCCAAATGCTTTGGCTGCTCCCCTGCTTCTCTCTTGATTTCCGTCTTGGGGCTTCCCCTCACCCCGTGCCCTGTGCAGCAGGGTGGGACCCCCAGCTGGAGGCGACCTGTCCCTCGGGCATGGGCCCTTGCCCCTACCTCCCAGCAAGCTGGGCTTCAGTTTCGTTACCTGTAGAATGGGCCAGGAACTGAGCAGCAGGCCCAACCTCACCTGAGAGTGGAGCGTGTGCTCCCTCCAGGCTCAGCCTTCTTTCACAGGAGCCCAGACACCCCTCAGGGCCGGGCAGGAGTGGGGGACATGGCTAGGGCAAGTCAGTGAGAGCCCGAAAGGTCACACCTGGCTCCGGCCCTTTCTGTGGCATCGTCTTCTGCAGCCTCTACTTATCCACCCTGTGAAATGGGCCCACAAAAGCCAGTCTTGGCATCTCAGAGCTTCTCTTTGAAAAGCATTCCTACTTCTCGAGCTTCTGAAGTCCCTGCCCACCTGGCCTCGCCTGCGCCCTCTCCCCTTTGCCTCTTTTGGGGGGCAGGAAGTGGCACTCTAGGGTCTAGGGCCAGCCGGCCCTCTCTCAGGGAGTGACTTCCCTGAATGGGGGGCTGGGCTGAGCCCCCACCCATAGGACCCTATGACAGAGCCCCTTACTAGGGGTTCCTCTCCCTCCCCCACCAACGGCACCTGCCCTTGGCACCCTGGGTGAAGCGCTGGGTGCTCTCCCTTGCCGCCGAGACGTGGAGCCCGCGGTGGAGACGAGGGGGAGGACGGGAGAAAAGGAGGGCGTGGTTTTTTGCAGGTCCTCACTCCTCTCCTCCCGTCTTCTTCTTCCTCCTCCCATTCCTGCCTGTCTTGGCTCCTGCTTAGTTCAGGGTGGCACTTGTGTCCCAGCCTGGCCTTCGGGACAGGACCCTGTGGTCCCGTAACGTGGGGCCTAGACCCCTCGCTGGGTGGCCTCTGAGCCAGGCTCGCACCCCACACGTTTTGCAAACTGCGCTGGGTTTTGGGACTCGGAGGCTGTACCCGTTTTCAACCCAAGGAGGAAGGCGCCAAGAGGCCAGGGGGCTGGTCCTGGAGTATGCTGTCCCCACTGTCCCTTCTCTCCTATTCAGGGCCCCCTGCCCGCCCTCCTCTCACTTCGCTCCATGCCACCAGGCTGGCTGTCCCTGTAGGGTGACCGAGCGTCCCACTGGGGCCTGTCCTTGGGGGCGTGGGGGTCAGTGAGCTGCCTAGAGAGCCCAGTCTGGGGAGGAGCGTCCGATGGCAGGTGCCCAGCGCTAAAGGGTCCTCTCCTTCCTCCTGTGGGACTTCCAGGCAGGCCGGCCAGCCGCGTGAACCGCCGCAGCCGTGGCATCGTGGAAGAGTGCTGCTTCCGCAGCTGCGACCTGGCCCTTCTGGAGACCTACTGTGCCACCCCCGCCAAGTCCGAGAGGGACGTGTCGACCCCTCCGACCGTGCTTCCGGTAAGACAGCCGGCCACTGCTGGGGAACTCAGGGCTCCCTTCTCTCTGGCTGGCACCTCTGAGCCAGGGGACCAGAGGCAGCCAGCTCCTTAGCCTGAACTGCAGCTAGAGAGTAACCCCCATGCTGGCCCTGTGTCCCCCGGCTGGGGACATTGGCCAGAAGCTGGGTGAGTTAGGGACATGTCATCCGTCAGCTGGCACGATGACAGGTTTACGAATGAGCCCGTCACGTCTCCGAGAGATGCGCAGGCCGGCTGGGGGCTGGAGCCGGGGAGCTGGGCAGCGTCTGACTGGCCCTCCCCTCCCAGGACAACTTCCCCAGATACCCCGTGGGCAAGTTCTTCCACTACGGCACCTGGATGCAGTCCGCCCAACGCCTGCGCAGAGGCCTGCCTGCACTCCTGCGTGTCCGCCGGGGCCGCATGTTTGCCAGGGAGCTTGAAGCCTTCAGAGAGGCCACGCGTCACCGGCCCCTGATGGCACTGTCCACCCACGACCCCGCCGCCCACGGGGCTGCCTCTCCAGAGGTGTCCAGCAATCGGAAGTGAGCCAAATCGTTGGTCGTAATTCTGCGAAATGGCCCCACCCTCCACGCGCTCTCCTCTTGACCAGGGACCTTTCCACCAGGTCCTCCTCTGAAACCTCTCTGCGCCGTCTGCCTCAGGGGCCC